TGTGTGTGTGTGTGTGTGTGTGTGTGTGTGTGTGTGTGTTTAAGTGAGAGCACAAGTGAGCTATTATTAAATTAATGCTGAATGAGTGTTTTGGTTTTGTAACTTTTCAACTGTCCATTCCAATTTCCCCGTCGACTCTGGCCAGGCCCACACACATACAAAGAGCAGGCAAACTTCAAGTGAGAATCCTCCCACGTTTAGTACAGTGCCCTTTATGCCAGGCACTTAGGTATCTTTTTAGTGCTATGATGAGTAAGTGATAATAAAAACTGTACATTGTGCAAATAAGACAATTTAAATGGCAGTGCCATATGACAAAGTGAAGGAAAAAAAACATCCCTGTAAAGGTAATTTTTCACCCCGATACTTTTTTCTGTTTGACAAAGAGCTCCAATCTGCAAAAAGTGCCAGCACCACATCCTACTGCATGCCAGGCTGTAGATATTTCCAAATGTCCTGATGGCTACTCTGACAGTATGTGAGTGTGTGTAGGTATGCTCTACAGTATGTGCCTGTCAGTGTGCTCGCCTCGCAGAGACAACCTCTGGGTGAAAGCAATCAGGTGGCTGGAGACATAATATCCTCAGAGACTGTGAACAGCAGGAGGTTGACTGACAGGACAGGATCTGTTTTTTCTTCTTCCTTTCCACTTTCACCTGAAGAGGCTGACCAAACTGATGAGAAATGGATCAATCTTTGGATACCTTCATATTTTGGAGTGGCTTTCAGCTTGTGAGGAGAATCACTTCCCTCAAGAAATTTTTTTTCCCCCAAAACAATTTTCAGTAAAACGAAAAACTTTTTTTTTTCTAATCAGGAATTCACAGAGGGCATCATCACTAGAAAGGAGTCCATTAGAGCAAATGAGGAAAGTCGTTACATGATCACAGAGATTTCTTAAAGAAAATTCACAGTTTAACCAGCATCACAAAACGCACAGCTCTGGTAGGTTCAGCAAAAAAGCAGCTCTACTGATACAGTAGATCTGAGAGATATTTACAGCAAGAGTTTAGGTCACATTATGAATATTTATCACTATTTGCACTTCTAAGTTATATTTCTTCTCCTAAAAGAATATAAATGCCTCTGCTTATGTCTTTTGTATTCCAGGAAAGATGTGATTTGCCTTGGATTAAAACTGGAAACAGAAAGATTTGACTTGTTCTGAAGGTGACAGAAAACCAGGAAGACTCAGTAACATGTTTTAACCTGCTGTCTACTTTCAGCTGCTTCCTTCAGGGGTCGCCACAGTAGATTATCTTCCTCCATCTCACTCCATCCCTTGCATCCTCCTCTGTCACATCAACCCTTTGCATGTCCACCTTCAGTGCATTCCTCTCTGTGGTCTTCCTCTTTTCCACCTGCCTTCTTCACTAATGTCCACTATCCCTCCTCTGCACATGTCCAGACCATCTCACCCTTGCCTCCTTTAACTTTGTCTCCAATACTGTAGCCTACTTTAACTTTTACTAAAACCTAGCTATGCCCAACAACTTCAAGTGACTCTTTAAGCATTACATACTATTAAAAGTTAAACGTAACCTAATTTACCTGAATATAGTCTTTGGATACATTGTGTATTTATGCAAATGAATGCTTTGGATAATGAGGTTAAATTACTAGTGTATTATTTTTAAGTTTGTGTGTTAATGAATCCAACTTTAAGCTGTCTGCGTTCAAAAATCTGCACATAAATTTACACATAAATACAGAGTAAGTGTTTTGTATTTGAGGCTAGAGATGATTTCTACCTATAGCAAAGTAAGAGAGGATGTTCAACATAGAGCTTCAAATAGCATTTAAACACTCTGGATTAAACTGATTTTCCCTGGATTGGCATTTTAAATCGAATTTCTCCACAAGCCTGTGCAATTTTTAAAGTCACACAAAGCTTCATCTCACAGTAAAATGCATACACTTAGGCATCCTGAACACAATGGCAGTCGCTCACAAGTACACATTCACCCTCATATATTATTTTTTCCAAGAGCAGATCAGCTCAAACTTAATGAAAAGATGCATCTCCTCTGCTTTGCTGGGTTGTGTCTGCAGCCTGTTGTTATTCCTGGTGCTCTGCAGTGCCACACTCACACACTGCATCCTGCTCCAACAACCAAACCCACACACTCTCTAGGCAACTGTCATTGTTCATTCATGTTAATATTACACGTCATTTTGTATTCTGCCACAACAGCTTACAGCTAATTATATGTCTCATAAATTATATATGTCCTGCTGGCTGAAAGGACATCATTTGCATTTCATTAGGTGAATGAAATCACTCAACAAAGGTTGATGTATTTATAGTGTCTCTTATTTCATGACCATTAACTTTCATTTCCATAAATCTTGTTCAGATGTATGAACACAAGTGCTCACTGTGGTTTCGCATGGGGGTCGTACCTGTGCACAGGAGAAGCGCGGTGAGTCCCATCCACCGGAGCGGCCCCATGTCTCTCCTCGGACTCGTGGTAATTCGGTGGAAGCCGGATGGATAGCTCCCTCAGCAGAAAGCAGCACAACTTTGCACACAATTTATCCCCTCTGAGCAGTTCTCCATTTAAAGCAAAACTGTTGTATTCCGTCCGAAACCACCTGCCATCACAGACATGAACACAGAGCGTCACCCCAGTGAAACACAGAGCATGTAGAGGGCAAACAGCAGGGAAGTAAAGTCCGCATTTTTCGTTTTCACTCCCAAAATGGAGAATTTATATTAATCAACTTCTTTTTTCTTTCAGCTTAAGGTTTTTTTTTTCACCCACAGGACAAAACAGGTGCTTTGGGACGCGTGAAAACAAACCGTCTGTCACAAATCGCACCCAGCACCCAAAGGATGCTCAATATTTGGCAGACCTCTGCTGAATTTGTGCCATAATTTTAACAGCTTAGAGTCTCACTATCTTTCTAGAAAATAAACACGTTTTTTTTCAACAACTGTCGAGTGGGAGGCAGCGAATAAAGCAACGCAAACGTCAATCAAAGGAAATAAGAACAAGTGTGTGAAAGTGATGCGGTGTTTCTCTGTGGCTTCTTACCATTTCTCTTATTGCACAAGATCCGGGCGCCGCGGTCTCATCCAATGTTGGCATGTGGTTTGAAATTCGAGCGGCTTTTCCTTATCAGGCTGTAATTTGTATATATATATAAATGTTTTCCCTAAATCAACGAGGTCAGCCAAAAAAACAATCCTCGAAAAAAAAATCCAAACACTTTGTAAGACATTCTGTTTTCTTCTTGTTGTATTTCACATAGTGGTGGATTTACAACGGTCCAGATCGCCTTTGTAGTTCACGCGGAGGGCTAAGTGTCGTACAGGACTTGTATTATCTCACAAATAGTCCTGCAACTTTGCGCACGGCGAAGACGCGTGCACAGATGACAGCGAGCGCGGGAGAAAGGCGGTGGTGAAGCGGATCCTGTTGCCGCTCTGTAGCCTGTAGTTGTGGACCGGAGAGTGTTGGTGCAGAAACTGAGGGGGTGGAGGTGGAGGGAGGTGGAATGGGACGCGCACTCCTGGCTGAATTGGCAAATTAGAGGGTTTGCGGGAGTCACGTCAGCAAGTATAGTCCCATCAGTTTTCTAAAGCTCAGATCACGAGACGACTGCGCTTTCTGTCCCACATCGTTGGAAATAAAGATAATAGTAATCATAATAAATAAAGTTGGCACATTAGAAAGGAGCTTGGCACCTCACGATGCAGGGTAATTACGCTGTTGGTTCGGGGGCGAAAATGAACATATACACGTGACTCACGGCGGAATAGACACTAATTAGAGTTGTCCCAGTGGGGAATGGAGATAGGAATTATTTAACACTGTTTGGAATATACCGATTTTTTACATGAAAAGCTCAATGTCATGTGCACTGCCTTGCAGGAAAAGACAGCTTGAGGCACGCGTTTACGTTTAAAGCATTTTATTAAAAATAAAAAATCAGGTTCAGCTGGTTAATTATGGCAAAAAATAATTTCCCATTTCTCCGCTCGTGCCTGTCAAGTTGGCTGGACAGCGAATGTACACTTGGCGAAGAGAGAGTGGAGCACTGCAACCTGTTGTGCCACAGGTCGTTCATGAGAACCAACAGTGCCCTCTATGGGACACCTCTGACTGCAAACAGCTGCCCTGGCTCAGCTTCATGACTCAGACCTTGAGAGTGCTGCATAATTATGAGTGTGTCTTAGATCAGCTGCAGGCTGAACATGATGGCCACCCTAACATGGCACAACGACACCATAAACACTACTGTTATCAGAGCTTGAGCTCTGGGTTAAAGAAATCAGTGACATTTAGAAGATGGCGCATTTAACCTTGTTTTTCTATTCTGCCTTTTTCAGTGGATGGAGCCGATCAATAAAGAAAAATAATGTTTATCCCAAAATCTCGCCACAGTACTCTTGTTAGTATGTAAAGGGGTTAGCTAGTGAAGATTTTAAAGTCAGCGTTCCCTGCTGGGTGAAAGCCCAATGGCCAAGCTGTCAGTGTTCACATTGACTATTCTTTAAGAGAAAAGTGAACAGGCCATTATGGGGCACACAAACCAGAGTCATGTTGAAAAGTATCAAAAGGGTGACCCTGCAGCTCAAGCCTCTTCACATCAGTGCCGAACACCGATTACAGACCATCAGCAGAGCAATGGAGGGACCCTGTGGGTTTGAAGGAGAAAAGTTCCCTCCTTTATCCCCTTTCCTGCTTCTTGCTCCCTGCTCCTATAGCACCATTCAAGTAGAATAAGATATCAAAAGAGAAACAAATTATGCTTTTCCCCCGCAAAGCACAGCGCCAGAGGAGATCTTCCCATAACACACATCTGATTCGAGGTTAACATAAAAGATGAACGGCACATTTTATTGTTGCTGGAGTCTTGTGCTGACTTCCACGATGATGTACGGCTTCAGCTGCTTTCAGGATCTTGGCGTGTCACATCTTCTCTCAAGCGGCAAATCCAAACATATAATTATCATTTCCTGCTCTCTATTTACAGAAGCCACTATATGTCCTGTAATATGTTATTACTCTAAAAAGAAAAAAAGGATGCCTGAATGATGCCAAATTAATGCTTTACAGATCGCTAAGTGGCGGAAGGTGTTTGCCAATATTCATGTTAGAACCGCAGCAATCAAAACAATGTCACCAGCTAAAAAGAAGTATCCTTGAATTGTTTCTTACATAAGCCTCTCTGTCTAGCTTCCTTCCTCTTTGCTTATGCGTCTCTTCACACTTTTTTACAGTCGCAGACATATTCTGAAACATCGTGGCTGCGACCTAAACTAATTATTTATGGCTGCTTGTGAGAAGTTTATTGCACTTGCATTGCAAGTTGATGAGAACATATCACATGTTAAACGTCTGGTTTGAGCAACTGTGCGACTCACACGCAAGGTGTTCATGAATTGGATTTTTGCATATAGCTGCATTAGGAAGAATTGAACTACTGTTAATTTTACAGAACTAAAGTCATCGGTTTCACCTAACAGTTTGCACAGTGAGTGTTTAATAAAGAAATTATAGAAGAGGCAAAAATACACTTAAACAGATTATCTGATGCCAGTGTAAGGCAAGAGATGAGTTTGGGCATGATCCTGCTCAGACACACAGCCTCCAGGAGAAAGCTTGACTGCCGTTTTCCTCCTGGTGAGCATGAGTCCCATGAGATGACACTTGTTTGCTCTGAGCGTCTCATGGTTTTGTTCTGGGACTGGTTGCTATGCTGCATGCTTCAAGGCATCAGCTCAGCTTGCAAAATGGTGAGAGGTTCACTGAATGGGTTGACTTTCTTAGTATTTCTCTCTCTTTTTTCCCTTTCTTCTAAGGAGCCACAAAAATTGTGATGTTTGTCTCATGCAACAGGCATGACCAGAAGGACAAACTCTAAGCATTCAGTTCAACTCAGTTTTATTTATATACTTCACACTTTACCTTTTATACTTCACCTCAAGGCAATAACAGTTCCTTCACTGTGCTTTATGTTGCAAGGTGAAGGCCCTGCAATATCTGAGACAAACAGATGATTGCCTTATGAGCAAGTAGGTGGCAATAGTGGAAAGGAAGAATTCCCTTTAAACAGGAAGAGATCACTGCCATCTACTGTGGCTGGTGGGGGTGGGAGGGTGCAGCTGAAAGAGATGAGAAAAAAAGTAGAACATTGGGAGACCAGGATAAAACATAAACTATGGGACCAAGTAGAAAAAGAGATGAGTGGAGACGAGCGGCTCAGTTCATTGTGGGACTGCTCCAGCAATCTGACCCTATAGTAGAAAATAGTATATAGTACCAAAGGGTGGTTCAGGGAAATCCAATCCACCCCTACACACTGTGGATACCCATTAACCATTGAACAGTACAGAGCCTTTCAGCAGTGGAGCTATGCATTTAAATTATCATCAAGACAAGAGTGACACGATGAATGATCTCTGTGGATCGGAGACAAAAAAGATCTGTCACTAGCAACTGTAGTTATTCAGGCACAACTATTTTACTCATATCTTAGTTTTTTAAGTTTATATTTTGTTAACTGTGTATTTGTGATTAGTTGTGCCTCTCAGTTATCTTGCATTTTTCTTGAAGTTGCTTACAACATACAGACAAATGTACTGGGCCACCTGCACACTGGAGCTGTTCAGCCATAAAAAAACAGGTTATGACGCTCCTGGTGCTCAGTTTTCCTGCTGATGTTAATGCCAGAGGTAGTTCACAGCTCTGCAGTTAGTGTGTGTGTGTGTGTGTGTGTGTGTGTGTGTGTGTGTGTG